CTCAATTGATTGTCCCTTAGGGTATTGATAAACACTTATTAAATTTTTGTTGTCATCAAAGAGAAAAATAGAAAATAATGATGATTAACGTTTGAGACTAAATATGTTTTTTAGTTAAATTTACAGTAATGCTTAAAAATAATAAAGACTCAATCTCTGCCATTTTACTTAATAATTGACTCATACATATCAACCTCAATAACATAAAGATGATTTATAGAAAAACAAGAAATTATGCAATAAATTCAGGAAGCTAATCAAAACCATAAATATGTTTTTTTTTCTATAAATAATACACATTGATGTTTATTAATAGTTTTTAGCTTTGCATAGTCGTACTAATAAAAAAGTTCTTGTATTAATAAATAATACCCCGCTATCAAGTTTTGTTTTCTTAAGGGTTATTAAAAAGAGATTTTTTATTTAAAAAAATCTATAATCAGTCTTCTTGCTTTATTCTTCAATTATCTTGAGCATGTTACTAATTCAAAGCATTAAAGTATACACCTGTTTACTTACAAGGTTTTATAAAAAGGTAAATTTTATCAGAAAATCAGCAATTTGTTAGTACCGAGCAACAATAGCGTAAGAAAGGTACACGCCTTGTCCGGTCTATGGTCATCGCAACGCCCAAGGGACGGCAGGCGTGAGGTATCTCAGGAATTTTAATCGCATCCAAGCCCCCGGCCGCTGCTCGCCAACCGAAAGCAATAAAAAAACAAAACTTGGAACCTCAGTCATGTTGAATTTAGGATATGGCCAAACATTATCTAGCTGGCTATTTACCCGATGGTTTTAAATGTATGAACATTTTTTTGATTCTAGATCTATTTGGATTGAAAAATAATGTATTTATATTTAAAATACTCAAAAGTGACATGTAATTTTTATTTTTAAGTTATGTAAGGTTTTTTTATTGATTCCTGTACCTATATAAAATAAACTATACAATTTAAAGAGGGAAAGAAAACTCGAATGTGTCCGTCGTTTACAGCAGATAGCCAACGAGAAGAAAAAGACGTAAAATTAGTTCCGTAGGGCTGCAAGTGTGATAAAGATAGCTATAAACCGAACCTGTATAAGAAAGAAAGAGTTGGAACCTTGGTTGAGTGAGTCGAAAAGCAACCGGTCCAAGGGAAGCAGATGCTCTCACCAAAAACCCCCACGGCAAACTTACAAAATCCGTCATTTTTTTTTTCATTAAAAACAATCCCATAATATTTTATCCAAATTATGGATGTAACTCAGGAAGTAATTTTTGCCTTAAATTTATCCATACAGACATGAGGTAGGCGTCATAATATTAACTCTACTTAGATATTATGTACAATGAAGAGCGAAGACGTAACATAATATAGTAATACAAAAGTCTAATATAGCACTTATGGGGGACTTTATTAGTGTTTGCGTAATTAGAGCAGGATTATATTAAGTCAATAAATAATACACCATAACAAAATATCTTAACACTCTTTAATAATTACAAAAGTGCCTATCTATATCAAAATTCAAACCTTTGCATTTAATTTGTAAAAAACATTTTCTTGTTGAGGTGAGAATCTTTGCTTTCAGCAAAAAATTAGTTATTGTACATACATTAACTGTGTTATTTTTGGTCATTACCTGAACTTTACAGGTATTTGTTAGCAAAAAACACATGGTGCCATTACATACCTCACAATGGAATGTAGGCACCGTGCCAAATTACCTGTCTGTCTTTATACCATCAACTCGTTACCGTTGAATTTTATGAATTAAATTGCCTATTTTGTAACTTTCATATATTTCATATCTGTTTCATTTCATGTCTATCTGATTGAATCACTAAATATATGTATTGTATTCAATTCAAGACATTATGAATTAATGAAGATATTTTACATAAAATCACATTGCAGAACAACATGTTTGCGTGTCTATTGAAAAATCAAACATGCGCTCGCACATGTGTGGCTTTGGAATTATGCGGTTAGTTAGCTAGAAAAAAATGCGAGCTATTTGAGTTTACAACAAACGTGAGAATAGGTCCACTGCATACTAGAATCGAAAATATACAGGGTCATTTTATTAGATTTTTTTCTTACTTCCGAACTTCTTTTAAATACGGTTCAGAGTCGGGACGGGATTGCAAATGCGTGTAAAGGAATTCCGGAACAAAAATGTGCGCGTCTACCTGCAGCCGGCAGATGCTCCCTCAGCCGCCCCTTCCCCGTGCGCCCGCTCACCTCGTCCTTCGCATACCGCTATTAAACTACGTAAATTGATTACGTGGAAAATCTGAGAAAATCGTTCGCTAAGTGGCGAGTGCGCGTGACCGCTACATTGCCACTGTCACATGTGAAATTGCTCAGCTTTTTTGCATTCCTCACCGCAGTCATATGAGGTTTGCAGCGGTTACGATTATTTATTGCAGCCTAGTTAACAAGCCTAAGAAGATTCTGAATAATTAAACAACTGTTACGTGTAGGGTTTGCGCTTTCTGTCCCTCTCTCTCTCTAGCTCTGCATACCTACTCTTCTAAAAATGTCTTTTTAGTGAACAGAAAAAACAGTAACTACATATATGTGTGTATTTATTTGTAATTCAATGTGAGTTAGATGACTTTGAAGCAGCAGGATATCCCATAAAATTGGTAATGTGATCTGTCAGCAGGTAATCCTACATATTAATTTAATCGAATTAAATTTAAAAAAGACTAAACAAAATTCGGTGAATGATTTTGCGTGAGGACACGGGATGAGGTCAGTGAGGGTCCGTTATTGCGTCGCCGCATGCCGACACCTTGGCGGGCCGTGCGTTTTGATTCGACGAACTTATTACGACAGATGGCCGCGGCCCGGGAGGCGGGAGCGCCCGCGGACCCCGGCCCTTCGGAGAGATCGACCTCCGAAATGCGCCCGAGATTGCATTCTTTCGGCGGCGCGGGCGCATTCCACTGCGCGCCATCCGAGCTCCGCGCGCCCGCGCCAGTCGACGCGCGCCCTTTTGGGGGTTAAGATGTGTCCGTTGCGGCAAGCGCTCACTATGTGGTCCCAGCCGCCTCCCCCTGAGCCCGAGTCCGAAATACCGACATTAAGAGGGCGCGCGCACACCTGGTGCCGCGGATGTTTTGGCAGTCGGCAACTTGCGCGCATGGTCCGCCAGCCTCCTGAGTACGGCGTCCGCGTCGAACCGACGTCTGTGCAGCCGGCCGGACTGCGTGTACGCGACGAGCCCCAATACCAGAACATTGACGAAATGCGCAAGCGTCCTGAGTACGCTAACCTCGATGAGATTAGTCGCGAGTTTGGCTACCGGCTCTGCCCCGAAGGTCAAAACCTAGAGGATGAGGCTATTTACGAGAACATACTGTCAGTGCGTCAGATACGATCCGCGGAAGTGCGTTTAGTGCCGGTGTCCGAAGTGGCTTACTACGAAGGTCAAGGTTACGTTGCTACACAGGTGCTCAGCAGAAATGGAACCTTTCCACAGTGTCCGCCGCACACCTGGAGTCGACTGCAGGAGGCAAGCAGACTCAATGGATCGCTACGCCTTTTCACTGTAAATGTCACTTGTTTTATCATTTGAAGTGTTATCTACACAGTACATCTAGCATGTTCTGACGTCACCGGCGAGTACATTGTTCAAATTTAATTGTAATTTTTTACAGAACAGCACTTCGTTGTTTTTACACGGATTCCAAAGCAAAAAGTCATTGCCCAACTTATCATACTGTATTCTTGATGTAGAGAACAAAAAATGTATTTCGGTATTTTGCTATAATGACTTGTTAATTTTTTATTAGTAACGTGTTAAATTTCGTATGTACGTGCGATGCGACGTATGTTAATCTAAAACATCTCACTTATATTTATTTATTATTTGTTAGCTGTGCCCGCCGAGGCTTCGTTTGCGGAAATATTTATATTTTTCCATGCGATCCAATAATCTTACAAAATAACAGCAGCCTAACTTACTCCTCATATCATCAAATCAATCCTGGCGAAAATTCACGGACATTTCAGAGATTACTGACAGACAAGATTTAAAATGTGTGTTTTAGTGTTAGTAACAGCTATTATTATGACAGTAGAAAAGACACTAAATTTATTCAAATTTTATGATGTTTATTTAAGCACTGCTGGTATATGTGGATATAAATCAGAAATAATTATTGAAATTCAAAAAAAAAAAAAAACTATTTAACTTGAACAAACATTTTTAAACTACAAAGAAATAAATATAACATAAGGCATTTAAATAAGTTCGTTAAGAGCCGGTAGCACAATAATTAACTTTTTATAATACTGTTCATAACATAATCAATTTTTATGCTAACAAAAACTATTATCTCGAAGCTTGATTCTTCCTTTTATGTAAAAATTGTTTATGATATTTTTTTTATAAATGCTAAAGAATCGATTCGAGTTCTTCAATATAATGATTGATATTTTATGTGAACGCTAGTTGTTTTAATGAAACGTAAACTTTACCTGTAGTCACCTGTAGGTTAGTAAATCGTAAATAGGTTGCCATGCAATTAAAAGCCTTTAATAATTGAAATGGAGAAATCGGAATAACAGTCACTTACAGAGAATACAATTAGGTATTACAAGTTGGGCTTATTAGGATCTTTAACAGTTTGTTTATACTTTATAGTATAAATAAAATGTTACATATCGAATCTTTATTACTAAAGAACACAAGAACACCTGCAAATGTTGGAGAAGTAGAGATAATGGAGAATCTTCTAATGCCGCCGAAATAATATTAATTTTAGTTGGTAATAATGAAAAGATTATGAAAGTAATACATTTCTTAAAACTGACGATTTTTCTTTGATTAGATCTGTTACTATGTGTCACTTAGTATTATATTAAGCCGTCACCGTATGCGTATACGAGTAGTATATTAAACAATTTGTGCAAAGTATAAATGATTGTTTATGTGTAAATTTTTAATATAATTCTTGATTTCTGTAATTGCGTTGTAAATATATTTTTTTGTCTTCTGTTGTCTAGGCAAAGAAAGAAAGGCGCGACGTGAAGAAGCAAAGGCTGTGTTTGGCGCAGGATGAGTACAAGCATTTAAACAATGAGTACTCAACGCTTACTGCCTCTAGAACTAGTCGTGAGTATAAAACTTGGTACACCTATAACATTTTTCTAACAGTAACTTTTTTAAAGACTTCAGAAGCTGGGAGCTGCGACGAACAGTCAAAGGAGCTCCCAGCTTTAGAAAGGCCTGTAGGTGTTTATATTCGTTGAACGGGTACACAACTGCCTCAAATCAATACGGGTTCTTTTATTACCATGTAACTCCAAATATGATGTTAATACTTACCTTACCTTCGCATAACCCGAGAGTTTATTCAATATACCCTATCCCGAGGTAACAATATCGTCATAAAATTAGAAGTTATTGTATAGCTACTTAGTATAACAGCCAATGGTATATCAGATAATGGATGCCGAATAGACTAATAAATAAAGCTTTAGTATCCACATCTGTCGGAATAATAACTACCTATTGATATTCCTAGTAAGGTAAACTGGAACTAGTATTTCTTTGCAATGCAAAGAATATTCTAGATACTTTACATTTTTCTTCAGTATATACTCTAGGTACATAATATTAATGGGTTGAAGACGTTTAGATCACGTCTAATAAATATGTGGGTTACCCTCCTATAGCTCGTAGTTTGATTTTATATCGCCTAAAACCTATCTCAATTAACTCTAATAATTTCTCATCTGGAAGCACCTACCAATTACCAATTTTTTGCGGTTTCTAAGAAAATAACTTCCTAAATAGCTACTGAAATATTATTTCCTCAATTGAATATTGAATATGTGTGATGTGAATTGAATATTGGTAGTATTATAACAGCTAATTTTATTCTGACCTCCTATACAATAAATATCGTGAAAATACTAGTAATTCTGTCAAGCACAATATTGTTTGTTAGCGTTTTCCAATAAAACCGTAGGCCCTATGTAAATACAATGTTATTTTTATCTGATTCTATAGATAGTGTTCACATTTTTATCTCAAAAACTTGTCTCATAATGTTTATGCGCCGTGTCCGTTTATTGAATGTAATTTGGTATTTCACTAGAGCATAGTCCGAACACATCATTATATTAAAGTTTTTGTTTTATTTATTGTACGAGGCTTCATTATTTATCTTCAACATCTCAAGTCGATACGCTCGAGTATAATTCTGTTTCGCACATTTACGCGATCATATGAGCATCTGCTAGTTAAATTCTTTTTAAATAACAATGTGTGCGGTGGAGCCTTTTAATCAGTTGTGCAAATATTTACGTGTACAATGGTAGGCAGTGCCTTCAAATTCCTCTTATTATCAAATCACTTTTTTGCACTTTTTAAAGCTCAGTCGTAATTTATATTTTTACCGAGCCTTAAAATTACGATACGTCTACAATTTTTAAACCTTCGCGACATTATTTAAATCTGTAATCTTCCTACAATTCTAGTCCAAAACCCTTGCTTAATGCAATACTATCCTATATACACAAATATGAATGTAAAATGTGTGTTCAAGTTTTTGTAAAAGTGATTTTTTATGTAGTCTAGTATTTTCTCTAATCATATAATTTTCTCGTAGTTTGTTCATCAACAACGTCGATGACTACAACGTCCACGACGTCACGACATGATCCGGAGCTCCTCCGATCGGAAGTGATACAAGCTCGTGGACGAGTCACCCAGCTTAGAAAGGAATTAAAACAAGCTAGAGCTGAAGTCGCCAGCGCTAGACGAGGAGTTGACACGCTCACTGAGTTAGTACAAGACATATTATACAGTATTTTTATACTACACAGACAATCATAACTTTGATCTGTTATATGATTCGTCGTGTTTAATTTTGTTCATATTAAAACGTTGTTGTTTAGCTGTATTACTCTTCTCTGTCATAATAAGATCAATCAAAGTGGCCGAAACTAATACGGCACTTGTTTTTTATCAAAAACATGTTAACAGTTTTTTTTTTCAGAGTGGAGCAAAAAATAAGCGCACAACAGGGCTGCTATAATATCACGGAAGCCCAAGCTATCATGACCGAATTAAAAAATATTCAGAAATCACTCACATCTGGTGAGAAAGAGAGAGCAGATCTTATGCAATCTCTTGCAAAGTTAAAAGATGATTTAACGAGATTGCAACTTGGCGACGCATCACCAGACCTGTCTACCTTAACGCTTCCTCAAGAAAAACTAAGCACTGCTTCGCAAACGGATTTATGTGCTGATTTAGTACCTATCGGTACAAGATTAGCAGAAATGGCGCGGGTTCGCCTACAGTACGACGAAGCTAGAAAACGAATACAACAAATTCAACAACAGCTAGCAGATCTTGAAGATAAAGTGCAGCCCGGACAGGCTGAGTCAGACAAGGATAGATTACTACTCTTCCAAGAGAAAGAGCAATTGTTAAGAGAATTAAGGAGTATCACTCCAAGAACGAGATCTAAGCAAGAAATGAGTGAAATTGAGATTGAGTGTAAAAGATTAGAACAGGATTTGAAAACCGCATTTGAAATGTCCAGTAAATGTATCACTGATCGATTAAGATTACACGAAGAGAAACAATTACTTCTGCAGCAGTTGAAAGATGCCCTTACGTCAATGACTACTTTAGAAGGACAATTAAAGACTTTGTCAGCTAGTACCTTGTCTGTATCTAGTAGTTCAAGTTTAGGGTCTCTGTCCACTGCTAGTAGTAAAGGTTCATTAAGTTCTGGGATTAGCTTTACGGATATATATGGCGGACCTCAAATCGCTACGTTTTTTCAAGCTGACAAGCCTATTGATATGGTTGATTTACATAAAAGAGTTGAAAGGTAAGACATTTATACTTTTGATTTTTAATGTCCTTGTATGTGTCTGGAAATAATCGATTGCCTGACTTAGATTACATAAAAAAATCAGCATTAAAACTCAGTAAAGAAGTCAAAGTAGGGTTCATGATTCTATTTATCTGCGCAATCAGTATATTCGAAGTGGACATACTGTTTGTAATACTTTGTGGACATTTCAAGTCACAATATATTATAGCCTCTAGCTATGATTAATGAGAGGTCATCTATGTCACGCCGTTTCACTTTGACAGGTCCACAAATTGTAATACGCGGGCTGTGATAGACGATTTCCAACTTAGCCATTCCATGTTAGACAATACTTGCTTTCTTCCGCACAACTTTCTCAATCCAAATATTTACAAGCATCGCCTAAAAAGGAGTATGGTCTAATGCTGTGGTCTTTACTTTCTACAAGGATTACTGAATCATTACACATCTTCAATTGTAATAAACAAAAGAAAGTAGGCCTTTGGCTATATTTGTATATTTTGCTGAATAATTTTATTTTATCTGCTTTTCCACTTGATCCAATGTGCGCATGCTTATTTTTCATAACAATTAAAAACAAATTCGAAAACTTAGTATATCGATAGGACTTGACTTATTATTAAATATGTATAGTGCATTTGAGGTACGTTCACCGTTATTTTCCGTTTTCTCTCAGACCTGTCCTGGACACCCTCAAAACGCTCATAATATATTTAATGTTTATTAGTTGTAGTAAGTACTATATTGAATACTTGTGTACATATAAAGCAAAACAGTATATTATTTAACAGGTTACTTCGTGGTAACAGCTATAACACAGACAGCGTGACGCCTGGAGCGAGCAGTTCTCCTTCACAACCATCATTATCCCCTAGGAGTAGTTTGTCGTCAGCTAGTCCGCCGCCGCCCCCACCACCTTACAACCAGGTAAGATATACAGTTTTTCGAAAATCGTGTATGTATGTAATAAACAGCCAGCATTGACTTCAAATGGTATCTGGTATGTTAGAAGTTTTCTTAATATCAATATCTCAAAACCAGCACTTTATTATCAATACAGTAAACGATATCAAAATAAACAATTTCAAACGTCAATTTACTTTACTAACTTTAGAAGCTACTAACTATTACATAATTGGGACATTTCTATACGGAAGTCATTTTAGAAATCAATTCATGTAAGCTAACTGAATACAAGATAATTTTCATAATTACATAGGTACTATCGGAATAATATCTAAATGACCTATCATCGAAAGCAAAAAGAGTTAAAACTAAGAGTACAAAGTATTGACATAGTCATACCAAGTTTTACGAGCATTCTAAACATATTACGTAACAACGAAACTGCAACCAGTATTCTTACACATTATCAGATTCATGCAAAGTGTATTACGCCTTGCGGCTATGCCTGTCGTGTAGTATTACTTTCACTCTACGTACAGGTACAGAAGGTGGTTGAATGGTTCTTTTAATTTTATTTGATCGGCAAATATATGTATGTGTTTGTTTCCATTTTAGGTCGAAAGACAACGGCGGCAGCAGAGAGAATTAGAGGAGAAACTAGCAGAAATGAGAATAGGTGTTGCGACTGGATTGAATGAAATCACCGGACTTGCAACAAGTGAGTTTTTAAACGGTTTTATTTAACTTGATTTAGTATTCAGTTTAGGTCAAAAAGATAATAATGTAAGTTGCATTGGTACCATCGAATAAATAAAGGAAAAGTAGAGTTTGGCCAGTCAAAGAAACAATTGCAACTCTTACTTGCAAATAGAACTTGAAAGTACAAAATAATGACTTATTAAATGTTTGTTTTAAAGAGGATTTTAAATGACTCTTATTTAGCATCATGTTTTTTTTTTAATATTACTTAAGTATATTAAATATGCATGATAAATGGCATAATTCAAATGTTAGTTATTTGTCTAGTCTGATCTCTGTTAACTTAAAACATAATAATAATATGAATAAAAATATCAGTTCCAGTACAGCTTCAAGGTCCAGGACGACCGTTGGAGCCATTATCACCAATATCCGAGACGCCCCCACCTCCCTCGCCAAGAACTCCCTCTTCTAGTGGTTAGTATATTAACTCTATTTTATACTATAATCTGTTGTCCATGTTCGCCGGTACTTTTCCCAATTCGCTGATGACGACATTTGCACGTCTTTTCAGGAATAAAGTAAAGCAATTTTACTCTTTGGAATGAAGCCGACAAAGACTTCGCAAATATATAATATATAAATATTTAATATAGTGTATAAAGGCTTTGGATAAATTTTCCTATTTTTTTCAAAAATAAAAATGTGTTCTAACCTTCATCAGGTACCAACACTAGATCAGTATCTGCGGCAGTGAGTGACGAATCGGTGGCGGGTGACTCCGGTGTATTCGAGGCAGCGCAGGCCGCTAATGATCCCAGTAACGCCGGTACTGTACATTTTTGTTTTTTTTTTCAGTTTATAGTTAGTTACTTATTTTATTAATCAATGTTTCCAAAATTAATAAAAAAAAAGGAAAATTGTTTTTACTAGTTTTCATTGATTTTATAACATTTTGACGATACCGTATTAATTTTAATTAAATTACTTCTTCAAACTTCTTAAAATTAACTAACTAAATTGTTTTATATTGCAGTGAACAGTGCACAAATTGAAATCAAATTGCGCTACTGTCCAGACGAGAGTATGTTGGAGATCGGCATAGTGCGTGCGCGCAACCTACACGCCTTGTTCATAGATATTGGCACGGAAGTGTAAGTATCCTAGCGTTTGAAAATCATATACCCCGGGAGGTCAGAAAATGATGTGTTTAAACCACTCGTATGTTTGCATCAATTTAGTTTTAGTATTGTAAATCGACAATAACTGTTATTAATTAGCTTTACTAAAATTAATTCAGCATTACCCGTGAGCGAGATAGTACGAGACTGTAATTTTTAACGTCTGAAATTCAGTGTTAAGAAAATATATGAATTATAAAATGAACGGTGCTCCGTGCAGTGGTGTCCGGTGCGCGCTGGTGGTGGGCGGCGGGTGCGGCGTGGCGTGGACGGGCGACACGGCGGCGTGGCGCGGCGGCGCGCTCGTGTGGCGCCACTCGCGCCGCGCGCCGCTGCCCGACGCGCGCCACCTGCGCGCCGCCACGCTGCAAGTCAACCTCGTGGCGCACAACGAGTGTCTCGTGAGTACACACCTTTACGTACACATCGTCGCTCAAATCTCAATCCTAAGTATAGGTGCATAAAGTTCATTAGAACCACCCGATACCCGTCCAACACCGCCTTCCCTCGAGCGGTTAGTATTATTTACGCACAAAAAACACACTGGTGTTTCGACCTGGCATGATTGCTGACAAACTATTCAACTATTGACGTGACTTTACTAGTTAACAACCACATGACGTTCGTTATTTAACACGCGGCATCCGACCGTGGACCACCTGTCGACAACGAGTGGACACAGAGCTACGAGGCGGTGCCGGTCAAGTGTCGGATGGGTCTAATGAGCTATGATCTTAATGATACGTACATATTATGTGTACCTAAGAGACAAATATGTTTTCCTCGACCCACTAATTTTGACAATGATGATAACTAGCCAAATTCGAGTATTCGGCTTCAAGCTTTGAGTGCCATGTGACAAATCTACAGGCGAGAGCGATTATCTTTCTGATAATATTCCTTTTTTCCTCGTATATACTCTGATTTACTCCGACATTACAATAAATCTTATGTTGTTATAGGGTTGTGCGCAAGTGAGCTTAGCAGACTTTGAGCCAGACTCAGTGTCCCAGAAGTGGTACAACATACTCAGCTTTAGATGTATGAGAAGGGACGAAAGTTCGGACGAGAGCACCGTTATATCTTCGCAAACGTCTACACTTACTCGGAATAGAGGTGAAAATTAACGTTTTTTTGTAAATATTATGTACCATACGTCTTTACTTAAACCTTAATATAAATAAAAATATATTATAAATAAATAAAAAATATATTATAAATATATATATAATATATTTTTTATTATTATTAATACGTACTTTTATTTTTGTTAAGTTTTCTAGTGTATCGATCTATCTATTTATTCATCATCTAGCCAACGACCTTCCCGCTGATAAATTTACTATTGTAGTTAACACAATAGACCATTCAATTTTCTAATTATTTTGTCAATTGTACTTCTTCTTGTCCGCTCTTTTGTATTACCACGATTGGCTCGTGTAACAACACTATAGACGTTTAAGTTAAAATTTTACCTAAAGTATACCCAATTACACTATTTGTAATATCTACATGAATTTAAATTTGTTTCTAACTCACACATTACTTCTATGTAGTGGTATGAGTTTGCAACAAGGTGTTCGTTTGATTCTTAAATAAGTGCTACTTTATTTATTACAGGTCCAGAAAGTATGACGGGTGCAGAGTGTAACGTGGATTGTGGAGATAATTCAGCGTCAGAAGATGAAGAGTCTAGAGAACCACTAAATCAGGTAAAGATAATGTTTTTTTTATACTTTCTTATGAAATTCTTCTACATTTAAACAATTGTCCTTTTCTAATATATTGTATATATATAAATTACTATGGATGCAGATAGTGGAGGAAGACTCGTTTGAGGATTACATTCCTGAGGAGGACTTGGCTTTAGAAGATGAGTACCTACACCCAACCACTGCGGAGAAGGAAACCAATACCGAGTGTAACTTTTGTCCGGAAGGTGCGAGGCAGTTGCATAGAAGGTATGCTTCGATTTGAGCAAAATTTTACTAAACATGAGGCGGTTTTAATACTATATGTTAGTTGGCAGATTGTGGTATAACTGGATTCAGTAGTGTATTTTTTGTGGTACATGGTTATTAGGATAAATGGAGTGGGGTTATTTATATTTTGTCGATAAATTATTGACATGTAAATATTCTGTAGTAATTTATTAAATTTAGTAAAATATTTGCATTCACAATTAATTCTAATATGTTTCTAAATTAATGTGAAGAATTAATAACAATATTTACTTGTGGAGGCAAATTATTGCCTCGACTAAAGTAATACGCTTTTGTAATGATTAACTAAATGGTGACGGGATACTGAGTATTACTAATTTTCTCCCAGATATATGAAGTTGAGACGACTGGCGGCCGATGGACGGCCTCACGAGGCTCGTCTCGAGAAATAATATAGCCCTACGTTATTTGTGTACATAGTCTTGTATATAGGTATGTTTACATTGTGTCCCCAATGACGACAGTATTGCTTTTTGTGAGAGTTTGTTGTAATATACTGATTTGCTCAATAGATATAAAGCTTCAAATGGACAACCCTTTGGTGAATACTTTGAGAATTTATAAGTTATGTTATTGTTTAAAATAGCAGTGAAAATTGAGACTGGAGAACGTAGAAGAAACCTGATAGTTAATTGCTAGAACTTAATGCTAGAAATTGGTCTAAAAAGAAACATATTTCTTGCTGTAAACACTGTAAAATATTACGGAAATAAATGTTACGTGCTTCTCTCGTATTTATTTTGATATTATTATTGGTTGTGAACTCCGGTTGCCGCATTTAGACTTAAGAATGGTCCTTTATGAGACATACATCCCGGCCATTGTCTCATTACAGCTATGCGACTCTGACCTTTTCGGGCCATTGCTTACATATCTGAACACATCCATACAGGCAATCTTATCTACCAGTAGCTGATCCTCGCGACTTCGTCTCAGTCTCTGAAAAGAATAAATTTCTAAAATGGCACAATAAAATCACTAAAATATTTTTTACTTTCGTGTCATAAGTTCCTGAGATTAGCGCGTACAACCAACCAGACAAACGAACAAACTCTTCAGCTTAATGAAATTATTATAGAATTCCTTTTAGAATATATCTACTGTCAATTATTCTATGTTTAATTCTTGAAAATAACTAAATGTATTTAAGTACTACCTCTGACTACCCGTTCAATCGTAGAGAATTATACTATTTCTACAATACCATATTTACTTATTTATTAATTCTCCAGACTAACAAGTTTCGCCAAAAGATTTAAGTTTGTTTGAAGCTTTCGGAGTGATTATGTTTATATTCAAATAAATAAGAAGTGTTTTTGTGTGGAATTCTATGATATTTATGTATTCTATTGAGTATGTAGTTTAGCATGGATTTATTTGCAATAAATACACAAGTGTGATGTGCATGATCGCATGAAAACGTGGCACAATGTGGATGTATCTAAAATCTGTTTTTTTATTTTGTAGTGTTTTAGTCAGTTATATAATAATATATATTTTTATTATTTTCAAATCATACTTCTATATCATAAATTGTGAAGTATGTAAATCAAACAATGTGTAATTGATAACTAATAGTTTTATATAATTAAGGTTCCTATGTATTTATAAATGAATAGTTTACATACAGCCTTAACTATGAAGCAGTAACCTTGGTTTTAATTAGTTATATTTTAACTGGACAAATTTCTTACTGTGATGGGCTTGTACCCCAAAATTGGACATTTCATAACCATATTTTCGTTTTAAACATGAAACTGACTAAAGCTCTTAATATGAAATCCTTAGCTATATATTTAACTCCACCAATAACGTGAAGAATGGAATATATAATGATTTTAATGAAAAATGTTAATTAATATAGGAAAAGCGAACAAGCGAACGCTCTGTCGGAACCTCTGGCCACAATCAAGCGATCTCAGACGTTCTCGCCACAACCACAGAGCTTCGCCAAAGCACAATATATATGCAGGTATGTATTTAATTAAAATAGGAATACAACAGAGCCTAGTACGAATTTATTTCATGTCAACTATATTGTCACGGTGAACGCGTCCGGCGTTGTGATTAACCCACACTTAAATTTTTTCACTCATTGCAAAGCAAAACGCGATCGTCGTCGAGAGCGTATACGTTTTCTGTCTGAGTGTAATTTATTTATAGTATATATTGATTTAGAAAGGTATAAGCATTTTTATCAGCAGTCTGGTAACCATAGAACAGGTTTGCCTGGCTCAGAATTAGGCAGCCGTGTGTAAAATATGTCAAGTTTTTATTATTATTTTATTTTTCGATAGACTAAACCGTTCGGAGTCGGATTCATCAATGGCAGCATACCGTCGTGTGACGTTACAACCGCCACCCTCCGGCATTCCATTCGACAGGACTGTGCGCGAGCGCCGATCGCTTAGGTATGTTACTATATGACTAGAGTATTACCCATTCGCACAGGCACACTAGTAGTAAATACCAATATTATTATTTTTTTAAACTCGTAGTTATTATAAATATTAATTTATAACATGTGAATTAAGTGTTGTCAACTATGGTAGTACAGTTACCAACTGAAGTCTTTCTATCGAATGGAGGCGCAGTCATCAACATAAGTCATTTGATACCAGCATAATTTATAAACTGTGTAACGTTGATCCTCTTAGTCCTAGATTATATTGTAGAGTGAATTTAGAATTGATAAAATGAGTTATAAAATAAATAAAATGATTAAGAAACTCTGTGAGAATGCGATCGATTAAAACCATCGAGTATCGCTTACAAAAGTAGAATCTTCCAAAAGATGCAGGTAGAAGATCGGGCACGTGTAACGGTAGCGTGTGTGTCAGGTGGGGCCGGTCGCTGGGCGCGGCGGGCGCGGGCGCGGGCGGCGCGGCGCGCGGCGCGGGCTGGCGGCGCGCGCGCACGTCGCTGGACCTGGCGCTGGACCTGCGCGCGCAGCACACGCGCCTGCACGACCTGCGCTCCGAGATCGCCAACCTCACCACGCTCAAGAAGAGGTCAGTTGCTTTCTGAAACACACTATTTACAATTATTGGCTATCACCCACTAATTTTTTGTCAGTCAGATCAGTTTTTGACGTGGCGACGCGTCGCCGCAGCGTGCATCGATACGCTATGTGATAGTAGTAAATAGTATATGTAACATGTAATTCGGTGTGGCTATATTTTTAATTGAGCTATATTATTCCCTTTCGTGAGCTTATTACATTACTTGTAGAAAATGCATTACTCATTATTTGTAGAAAATGATTTATATATTTATGTAGCCTTCGTCAATCTGTTCATGAGTCTCGAAATATTTTTTTTGATAAAACCTATTATTTTTTGGCTGCAAAATATCTTATTAAACTGTTAAATAGTTTTTCCTATTAATAAGATATTAGTTAAATATGGATTTATCAAACACAATATTCTAACCATTTTGGACTCAGTATTATGATCGAAATCTCCGACATCGGTTTACAATACATCGTCTAAATATGTTTTTCTTAAATTCTCAATAATGATCATGTGAATTAATTCTAGTATTAACCACCATTTTACAAATATTATTAATAATCTATAACTACTTCATCTATAGCTAAATTATTTTAAGAAGCCTCTATCTAAATTAAGGTTAATTTTCCAGACTAGAGGAAGCGTGTAACCGCGGTGATCCGGCCGTGGCGGCGTGGGTCGCTGAAGACGACACTCTCCGAAGACTAGTGGACACCACCTCGCCGCCCAGCGACCGCGCCTCGCGCCTGCTGGCCAGGACCGCGCGGAACATCTACCGGCTCAGGAAGTCACGGCAAGGCAGTCGGAAGCCAGACCTCGTCACTTTCAAGTGAGTTCCTAATCTTTTTTGTTGGAGTTTTGGAATAATATCACAATATAATAATCATTGTTTGGTCGTGAATAATTATTTCTTCATAATTGTACCTTCTGTCTCCCGCTTTGCTAAGGAAGGGAATTGAGTAATAGTATTAGAAAATTGTAGAATAAGAAATTCTAAAATAAAATATAGAAGTAGGTAGGAGTGTTGAAAATTAAATTCATGAGTGCTCTATATTAATATGTATTGACTTTTTCACCAGACTGTACTTGAAGGATAATACATAATTTAATACATAATTGGAATTAATTTTAATATAATAGAATTGCCCTGAACTACCCATAAAGTTTTAGTGAAGTGTAGATCCGCCCAGGTACCAATTAAGTGTTTAATCGTTGTTTATTCTTCACAGGGAAAAAATGGCCTTCTTCACTCGCACCAAATCAACCATGCCTGTGTTACCTGGTGAGGAAGGGGACGACATTCTATCCGAAGACGACTGGGAGGACGAGCTCGAGGAACGACGCACTCCGGACGGACGCTCCTCCAAGACCTCCTATGAACTTCGACGTGAGGGTCAGAGTAACGTGGTGGAGTGTAAAAACCCCTGCTTGGAAGAACCCAAGGACGACACTAAGACTGATGAGGTGAGGTATGAAATTGGATTGGTTGACAGAGCACTCGGTGTACAGGTTTGAAAGGGGAGTCATTTATAACGGCCGATTTTAGAACTAAAACCAATTTTTTTCTCGTTCAGAAATCAGCCGTAATAAAAGCTCTAAGTATGGCCTATGGCAAAATATGGCACCATAAAATTGCAAAATAATTGTAACATAAATAACTGTGATGATATTGCCTATTGAGATTTTCTGGTTTGAAGACTGAAGCTAAAAACTTATAGAATGTTGGTTATATTATATATATCCGTGCTCTAAGGCATGTACGTATGTGTGCAAATAGAGTGCCATAAAGATTACATTGATCTTATACATTATACCAGTTTTATATATCCTATTGTATGTACAAATATAAGAACAAACATTCTGGTTTAAACTCCTGACTATAAGTATAACTTATAAAACCCGTCCAATTATTATTATTTATTTTAAAAAAATAACAAAAAAGAAAAATCGTGGTTTCGTAATTTTTGTGAAACAGTTAAAACATACTTGTGGTTCAGGAGTGAAAATATTGTGCCTTTAAATTTTTGGTGCCTGATATTAAAGCCTGCGATTGTGCCATATATGGCATGCCAGACGGTGTTAAAAAGGTACAAAGTAGTTGTATGACGAGTCACAAAATGTATGCCAAACATATTTTTTTATTGTAATTAGAACATAATGTGGGGTTACGGTCACTTTGTAAATAAAAATACGTAAAATTTCGGACCCACCGACTAAGTTCATCTGTAGATAAAATAAAAAAGTAATAAACTAATAATTTTTGCAAAAATTTTGCAAGCACTGCTGCAATCCCATTATGAGTTAAGATCTCCCATATTGATTTCTGTTGCAATCTTGTTTCAATTTTTGCAAAAGTTATAACTGGTTAGGGTTCTCTCCACCGAATATATAGGACTTGAAAGGCCAAAAAGAAAGCTTTGTACATAAGGCTTTAGTTATGTGGAGTACTTGCCCTATTTAATATTATAAACAGACCTAGAAAATTTCATTTATATCTACTTAAAATGTAATCAACTTGTTTTCACGAATATTGAAATAAATATCAAATACAATATGATTAAAAAACCTTCTAGGTCCAACTATTGAAGCGCATACCTGGGCACATTGACGTTGTAAACGTGCAATATTTAACGTAATATCAATACAGGACGATGTTTATGTTGAGTAATTTTCTGTATTTGTTTATCACTGAATGAATAAGTAACAGAAACTATTTCTTTTTTTTTCTCGAAAAATAAATCGTACTTACTCGACGTAAACTTATTTTGTACCAGTAATTCCATGTTTCGTTAATAGATCTGAGTATGTACTGAATATATTGTCTCAACCTTAATCACTATTAAGGCTTTACTTATAAACGCGAAGTTAATTTTAAGGTAACAACCCTAAAACATTCTTTCTACCAATTTGACTCACAAATTTATTAGAAAGGACATAGTAACAAACCATTTATAAGTAAAGAACTAGCTAAATTTGTCAATAAAAATATATCGAAATATTTAATAACTTACATGTTTTAGTAGAATAAAATGTTGATTTTTTTAAGTGTCGATATATTTTTGTAAACAATAATTAATTGTAAACATTATTTGTACATTTTGTATATAACATATTTAATATTATTATTTTAGTATAATAAATCTGTGTAAATAATCTGAATAAAAATATGATTAATGAAAGAATTTGCATATCTGAATTTTGACTTTATGAATATTATTATTACATAATTAACTATTTAGCAATATTAGTGCCTGTTAAGTATTGTTATAACAAGATTACAATAGTCTTCTAGCTGTAATTTTTACGTAATGTTACATTTTTGTAAAAAATGTATATTTTTATTATAATTATTTACTTGGAGTTTTTATACATAGTGTAATTGTTAATGAGGTGAATTTGGATTTGCCAAATTACTTAAAGCCTTGTTTTAATTCTTCCATTAAAATAAAGGGGTCAATATATTTTGTAAAAATGCCAATACAATTCATACAAATGAAAATAAAAATTATAAATTAATACTTTTTTGTTTGATTTTGAAATTATTATTCTAGCCTTTGTACTCACAACATACTAATCTGCTTACACAGTATCGGTGCTACACTTATCCGCGTGGTGACTAATTTAAAATACAGAGTGTCACCACCCCTATACATCCCGTGGGTTGTAAGAGCCGACTAATTGAACAAATTACGCAGGACAACAGAAAAGAGAAAGAAAACTGGACACAATCCCGTCTTTCTAGCGTGGAATAGTAAGCCAAAACCTCCTTTCTAAGGAGAGGCACTGTCCAGCGGTGGACTGTTAAGGGCTGTTGATGATGATAAGTGCCACACTTGCGGAAGAATATCCGTGAGTCTTTTTCTGTTTATGTTAAGATGGGACTAAAAGCTTAATCGTCCTATAACGTTCATTATATAAAAGGCCACACTCGGCCATTACCAACAATCCCATTTATTATTCCTACTTGTGAATGGATATCTGATGAAATCATTTTCCCAAGAAGAAGCAGTGTCTACATACAAAATATTAGTAAGGTCACAAGCGCGTCGATTGATTGACATTGCCAATAAGTATACGAGACCTGTTTACGAGATTAAATTTGTCGATGGTGAATCATAGACAACAGCGGGTCTTTGCATTGATGGTGTTGTTTACTTAACTGATAATAACAATCGACTCGACAGGAGTGATACCACGGCCTCATGGAAGGCCACCAGAGGGCCACAAGCAAGCAGAGTTCATTTCAGCAATTACAAGTGGTGTTTTTAAGAACTGAAATAAATAGAACCTTGGTGCGACTGAAAAATCGAACCGTAATTAAAAAACGGTACACAAGAGAAAGGCGTTTGTTTTGTTTCTTCTTTGTGATTTTGTTTTTCTGTGTTTTTCTTCAGCTATCATAATGGTCGCGGAAGCCAGTCTACGGCACCGACACCGGTCAATAAAGGCCAATTTGACAATATTTTTTTACATTTTATTAAATTACCATAACTATAATACCAAAAAAATCATGTCGACTTGCTAATACATGTACTTCAAGGCTTCCTCTTTATGCACCGATAATCAGCAGATCAAACCAAACCACAAAGATGAATAGATATATCTAGAAATTAATATACATTTCCACTTAAGCAATTGTATTACAAGGTTCGTTGCCAATTCACTTACTAATCATTACCCGACTGCGCCAGAAGGCATGTATGTATGTATGTATAATTGTTTGCTACGCTCTGCGGCTTTAACGGCTCCATGGATTTTAGCTTGAGAGGTATCGTTAGATTCGTATTTACTGTGAGAGTGACACTGGGTATATCAAAATAAAAAGCCTGAACGGCTCGATGGATTTTTTCACGCAGTCTGGTGTTTTGTTTTTTCAATAATTAGCTTGTTTGCTAAATATTGTCATCAGTCAGTTGATTAATTGCTCTGACAGATCAAAAGGAATATTTGTATTGTGAGTATGTAGTTAGCCTGTATTCAGTATTGCCGTTCTCGTATTGGATCACTGCTCCGCTCCTGAGAATCACAGCGTGATGTTAAATAACTTACTTACTTTCAGAACTTGGTTACTTAATATCCAAAAATATTTTTTTATATTCAACTCTACTATTTCCAGAAATAAATTTCAATAATAGAAAACGAATAGGTACATTTTATTAACTTTTACATTTTCTCTGCAAATATGCTGAGAGCTGGCAACCCTAGCATTATGTATTGCCGAAGCGGCATATGTATGTAATTATGTAATTAACACAGTTTAATCGAATGTAGTTTAGTCTTTGTTATTTAACAGTTTGTCATCAGTATTATAGACCGCCTGCTGGGATTTATTTATTTATTTATTACCTATTTATCATTTTATCCGGTTAGTCTTGCACAAGTATACCATCACTGTACTACATACTTATATTCATGTATTAGTGACCAGAGGCATACCCAAATAGCACACTACAATAAAATTTAGTAATTTTCATTACCTAATGGTAATGAAAATTACTATTGATATCAGTATATAAATTTAAAAAATCATACTTTTTTTAAATCAAGTTGTTATAGTAAATCTAGTCTTTTTTTCAAATTCATAAAACGCAATATAGCATAAAGTCTTGAGTTAACTATATTTATATTTGTAATTGTGAGTAGCTTTGTTTTGCTTCGGTGGTCCTTCTCTCTAGAAATACTTGATTGCAGTTCCTGGCCTTACATAATAACATAGGCAATACTCTTTACAACACGAACACCTCTATGGTTAGAGTAAAACATACATCTGACGCTTGTGTTTAATAAAATGTTAGAGAAGCACTCCTATTAGTATCCAATTATAAATATAAATAACTTCCAGTATGATATTTCCTGTCTAGAAGCAGTATTCCTTGTCTGTCTGTCAATCTTCTGCCATTAAATACATATTAAATAAGTTTTTATATAGAAGTTATGGGTTAGGTAATAAAAAAAGCAAAATTAAAAGTCTTTTGAATACAAAAGCAAGAACGTTACTTTCAAAAACGCACAAAACGTCGCCACCCTGGGTATAAATTAACCGATAATAGACTGAGATTTGAGATCACAAATCACAATAAAAAGGGAAATTAATAATAGTGTAACCGAAATAACGGCTACAACAAATTCTGTGTAGCTACGTGAGGGACTTAGAGCGCACGCAAAGGCTCCATCTCACAATCGCGACTCACAATCGCTTAGATTACACTTTGGAAATAACGATGTGTTACTCGCACGCTACATCAAGGTGCATCATTAACGAGCCCTGAAATATTACAAAATATATAAAAGCATGTCTCTATTAAATTTCTCTATTATAAATCTGAACAGGTACTTCTTATCACGTAAGTTTGTGACTATGTAATATGATACTTGAGGCATTTGATGTAAAATTCTACAAAAAAAATATTGTATTTCATAGGACTTACTCGGCTAAAGTGGGTAAACTACATCAGGTCAGACAGGACTATGGTGTTTGTTTTGGCCTTAAGGATGGCTGTTACCGAGAAGTATAA